GACCTCCCCGCCAATGTTGTTGAGATAGGAAATGTAAGACGTTTTAAAATAGCTCTTAAATCGTACATGCGTATTTCTTAGGTTTTTATCCATCTTAGATCTTAGATTTTATTCATAAGCATATATTTTTAATTTTTATTTTTGGAAGTTTATTTACATAGGGTCAACCTCTTAAACTTCCTTTTTAGGGTATTATTTGTATTTTATTTCTTATGATACCTTAAATAAAGTATGTATGTATGTATGTAGCAAATTTTGACCGGAAATAAGGAGATAAGCAAATAGGATGGAGAAGGAATGCAAGTATTATGGACATGGACAGACAACTGAAAAGTGAAGACAAAGAGTACACGGTTGTTTTGAAAAAAAAAAAGTTCAATGTTTTGGAGTGCATTACACTGTTTTTTCCCGGACTTTGTCACGAGCTGAAAGTGGTTCGAGTTATCGGGGGTAAATTATATAGAAATGATCTGAAGGATTCGAGTTATCTGGAGGTTCGAGCTGTCGAGATTTCGAGTTACCGGAAATAAATTATAGTTTTCGTGTGAAAGAAATCCAGGGAAAATCGATTTTGGTTTGAGTTATCGGGAGTCAACTTTATATGGACAGTCTTGCTTTCATAGATTCATCCAATCCGATCTGAACAAGAATAACAGTCAACGATGTGCTCGCTTAGGATTCAGATATAGCTTCTTATTTAGGTTCTGAGAAGTAACAGAAAAGACTGAAGCAAATCATTCTTATTAGGAAGCAAGGTCTATATAAATGGAGAGCAAATTATTACGTTGTTACTTGCACTAACTTCATTGGTTTGCCAGGCGTACGGCTTTGAAATTGGACAACAAACATCTAGGGTGATAGATAGAGGATATTACATGCTGGGCGGAGATACGAAATTTCTCTTCGAGTGTTGCGCTCACTCGTGAAATATTTTTTTCAACACGCGAAGCGACAATGTAATGTTCTATTTATTGATAAACACCAATGAAATACCAAACCATTTTACTTCAATAGCTTTTTGGTGCGAATGGTGCGATTTATTATGCAGCCACGGCAACGGTGATATTTTCACATGTGAAGATACCGTAAAATTCCGAAAATAAGCCCCTCCATGTATAAGCCCCTCCAAATATGAGCCCCCCAAACTGGTGACGCAAAAAACCCTCCGTTAAATCGCCCCGCCAAATATAAGCCCCCCGGGGGCTTGTACTTGGAAAATTGCCCTCAAATACAAAGTAGAATAAAGCAAAAACGGTAAATTTACTTCGAGCTATAAGGCTAGCCCGATCGATTTGTAAACGCAAATTTCGCTCCGTAGATAAGCCCTTAAAAAAGGGCCTTTGAAAAGTATAAACCACGGGGCTTATTGTTGGACTGTTACGGTATCAAGTTTTCGCGCAACAGCTCACTTGGTATATTGGTGTTTATATAATAAGGAAGGAAGCTTCCTGTACATAACAAAAAATGGGAACTCAGGCCACACCTATCCTTAATTAATTTTTGATCGGAAAGTTCCGAAAGTAACGACCGTCCGCGTTACTTTCGGATTTAGCACCCTTGATCTGCTATCGCTACTTTCTGGGAGTCGTTACTTTCGCATGGCTAATGCGTGTACTCCAAACTAGGCACTTCAAAAAAATAAAATCGAAAAAATGTGAAAAGAATACTTTTTGAAAACAGGTAATGTATATCCCGTAATTTAAGAAATATGAGTAGGAATGTCACATGATTGCTGCGGAGCGACCGAAGGGAGCGAGCAGCAACATAATCAGGATTTAAAGGAAATATGTAAGGGGCGACGAATTCTCGAATTCATCACTTTTTACCCCAATGCATTGCATTTAACCAGAGTGCATTGCGCCACGAACAACTCAAATAAAAACACGGGGAAGTTCGGTAGGTGAGAGAGTACATCGTTCGCTGCTCAGACTTAGAGTTTTCCTTGTGGCAAATCTTCTACAGCACGGTTAGAGGTCTTACCAAATTTTAAGACACGCAGGAGTCTTTCAGATGAGTACGATGGTTAACTTAGGGATTGGATTTCAATTCAAGAGCCTTTTTTGACTCAAGAGCCTTTTTTGCTCTTCGACTCCGCAACACGGGGGATACACAAATTCCAGCTTGCTAGAAGGTGATATGAAAGTGAGAAAATGTCATGCAATGCTATTCTTAAGAAACTGCATGAGCCGAAAATGGATGTAATTTTGACCATTCGCTTCAAAATAACAGCGGAAATCGAGATAACAAAACATATGTTTTGTGTCCTACTTTGCAGACGAGGACGTGTATCGGCGTTTTGAAAAGCGTAATTATGTTCTTTCATTCATTTATTTCCATGGAATATGCGTTTACATTGTTTTTTCACTGTTAATAGCTCGGTTAATGCGGCTGGCGATCATCTTGCCAGCGGAAGTTTCATGGAAAAGGAATAAACTGAAAGACTTTTCCTAACGACTACGTAATCGATCTCTGTGGTGTGGTGGTTAAGTGTAGTCGCGTCGAGTCGAAGGTGCTGGGTTCGAATCCTACTGAGTTATCTATTCCTTCTTTCTTTTTTTTCCCCTTTTTTTGTGTTGTTGTTTTCTATAAATATATAGCTAAATAACTGTTACTTAATAAAGTGCAACAAACAACAAGAAAGGTATTGTGTTTCCAGAGAAAATATCGTGCACCGTATATTAAATATATGGATAAACGATCTGAATTTCTATAATTTCCTACAATTTACTGTGGGAAAACCAGAGTTGATAACCACTTGATCATTTTCCAAAGAACGTTCCCACGAGTTCTTTCTATAGACTGATAGTAATTATTCTAGTACTTTCCAACATGTAAATAGGACATTCAATGTCATTTTTGATTCTTTTAAGTCTCACTGCCTAACTAATGGCAGTATCAACAGAATAGATACCCTAGTCATTATTAATAAACTTCTGATCAGTGTGCCATTTGTTCAGAATATCTAACATATCTGTTATTTTTTGCAAGAAGGGAGATTCGTTTTGAGGTCTTTGCTTCGTTTTGAGGTCTCTATTTTCGGGGGATCGCTACTTTCGAGGATTCGTTCATTGTTTCACGATTATATACACTTCCACTCCTACATTAGTTTTGACATATGACTGAAAACATCAGCACATTCTTTTGGTAAATTAATTTACAGCATACTCGTGTAGCCGTTGCATTTGTCCGTTGAATTGTTTTTATTGTTTTAAGATCACTTGTTGCCCATTAGTCGATGCTATATCAAGCTAAGGCCCTGGTTTAAAGGTTCTACTACTTTTAATACAATATGGCCTACT